GTCATGGACCCCCTCCTTAAAATAATGCTTTAAGATGCATAAAATTAAATACATAGGATTACAAAGGAAGCCAATTATATTGAAACAGTTACCAAAACGTTCAGTTGTTTCCGATTCTTCATGACCCCATTTGGGGTTTTCTTGGCAAAGATACTGGAGTGGTTTGCCATTTCCTTCTCCAGCTCATTTTATGGATGAGGAAACTGAGGCAAAGTTAAGGGACTAGCCTAGATCACATACCTAGTAAGTATTTGAGGTTGGATTTGATCTCATGAAGATGAGCCTTCCTGATTCCACGCCCAGAGCTCTATCTTGTGCCACAAGTTTGTGGGCTCCAGGACAAAAAAATCCAGGCTGATAACATAATTCTTTCATTTTACAGAGGAGGACACCTAGGGTCATGGAAGTAAGCAGCTGAGGATGGGCTCGAGTTCTGATTTCTTGACTCCAAATTCAGTGCTCTTTCCAATTGTAGGATGCTTCCTGATACTTTAAGAATGTTTACCTCCATCAGAAATCGTCTAAGTGATGCCTTCTTGCTTGCTACAGCCAGAGAGAATTACGTTCACCTTATGACACATTCCCTACAATTTATAATCAAGGAGATAAATGTACAAGATACATAGAATGGAAACAAATTACTACATGCATAGACACTGAAGTATTTCCATTATATAGATCAAGGGCCATATGTAATACAGTTGAAAGGAAGAGTAATAATTAGGTACCGTGGAAATGGGAGATTTCCAGTCTAGATTTACCAGGAAAAAAAATGTCTTCCTGGCATGCTTATCAAAATAGCAAATGGCACGGTTTGAGTGGGATCACTCATACACAGAATGACAGACTCAGAATCTAAGAAGGTCTTGACAGTGTTGAACACTGGACATAATTTCATTCTAACATAATAAAATTTAATAAGGATAATAATATATATATATATATGCATAAACACTAAGGTTTGAAAAGTTCTTAACAATCATTATCTCATTTGATCCTCAAAACAAGCATGGAGATAGATGCTATTATTATGAGGAAACCAAGGCAGACAGAGGTAAGTGACTTGCCTAGGGTCAAATAGCTAAGTGTCTGAGGTGGGATTTGAACCCAGGTCCTCCTAACTCCAGGTCCAGCTTTCTCTCTATTCACTGCAGAACCCTCAATGCCTCAATCAATGCAAAGCCTTCCACTGAGCTTCAAAAATTCAACTGTACAAACAGGACAATGGGTAGGAAAGGGAAGGAATATGTCTTAATTGGGATGTAGCAGAGAAGGACTTAGAAATTGTAGTTGACTGTAAGAGCAAAGTGAATTAACAGATGCATTATGAGGTTGTCTAAATTCCATGTTCCGGTTGAAAATATTAAATTATATTAAACATATTCTGAAGTCATCCTCTGTTTTGGCACTGATCACACCAGAAATTCTTGCACAAAGTTCATTCAAAGAGCAAGGTTTTGATAAGTATATTTTAGTTTTTAACAGGCTGTTAAACAGTTGTTAACACTGTTATCGACTAACTTAGTTAACTGGCATACAACCCACTTTTTCTTCTATCATTAAAGCTATTTAGCTTCATATAGTAATATTCTCAGGAAAATTTATTTTAAAGAACAAATCCACTTATTTATTCATTTTAAAAAACCCACATCAATTACCATAACTGCAGTTGATAGATTTTTTAAAATCTATAGAATATTTTTAACTTTATGTGGACTTTGGGTATACCCTATAACAAAATGCCCAGAAGGGAAGTTGAAAGTCCCACGGGCAGAACAGCATTGACGAAAACATCTGAAATACAACACAATTCCAGTCGCTGCACTCTATAAATATTGACAAACTGGAAGAAGGATGGCCAGAAGGGGGCAACCAAGAAGATAAGAGGGTCTGAAGACCAGATCATATGAAAAAGGCTGAAGGAAGGGCAGCTAGGTGGTACAATGGATAGAGCACAGGCCCTGCAGTCAGGAGGAACCAAGTTCAAATGTGGCCTCAGAAACATAACACTCACTAGCTGTGTGACTCTGGGAAAGTCACTTAACTCCAATTGCCTCACTTAAAAAAAAAAAAGAATGGCTGAAGGAACTGAGACATGTTTAACTAGGAGAAGGGAAGGAAAAAGATGCAAAGGAGTACAGGATCAATGCCTGAAGGGTTGTCTAAGGGGAAAAAAAAAAGGAAACTGGACTAATTCTGTTCAACTCCAAGAAGAAGTAGGACTAATGGGTAGAGAAATGATTGAAGGCATATTCCATCTCAACTAAGTTTACTAACTTGGAGATGTCAAAAAAAAATGGAATAGGCAATGTGCTCCTTGTAAATGCAGGTCTTCAGAGAATACCCCTTGTTTGAGTGAAGACTTATATAAGATATATAGGGTGGGAGTTGGTCTAGATTCCAGTTCTGAAGGTCCACCATCAAATGACACCATTTTGAAAGAGACTGAAACAATGCTACAGTTTTGGCAATGAGTAAAGAAGCCCATTAAATTAAAACAAAGACTTTCCCCCCCCCCAAGTTATTTATGTTCATTTCTAAGCTTACCACTCTAAGGAAATTGGTTTGTTAATGGAAAAAGTACTGGGGGGAGGGGAGACCCTGGGGAGATAAGGGAAGGAAGGGGAATGATAATGTCAACAGAGGCCAGACTAGCTATTTCTTGTAAAAGATCATAAATCTAATAGGTTTTTTTTCCATTTGATGACTACAATACTAAACAGACTATCTGAAATCAACAATTTGCTAGTACATCTGCAGTACCCTGTTATTTTTTTTTCCAAAATTGGCATCACTGGGGAAAAGGAGTGGAGTATTTTTGAGAAAGCTTAGAAATTTATAATTTAGTGCAGGTTTGGCTTGCATGTATTGTCTATACTCCAACATTCATCAATAGCTGACATTCCTCATTTTCAAGACTCTTAGAAGTATTTCAAATTACACCAACATTGACTCCCCTCCACTTGCAATGGAAAAAAACAAAACAAAACAAACAAGATTAGTGTTTCCACAATAATCACTCACAAGTTCAGAAGGAACATAAATAAGAGCAAATAACTTTAGTATAATACTTTTTCTTCTCCTTCAGAGTAAAATAAATAGATAAAAACACGAAATTTCTTAAGAATAAAACTGCTATAGATTCATAGCAAATTGACCAAAAATAGCCAGTTTCACATAGCCAGCTGGGGTAGGTAGGGGCATCAAATGGTTACTAGTGGCTATCTTTTAGTTCAGTCAAGAACAGTAGTTATAGGAGATTATTGATGCAGCAGGAGTTCCCAACCACCCTTTTCAATATAAGCTAGGCAACATTAGCATTAAAAAAAAATCCCCAAAGGGTAAGCCAAAAGAGAGATTTGTTGGCTGTTTTTTTGTTTGTTTGTTTTTTGTAGACTCTAGGCTTCATTTCAAACAGACTATAAAATCAGTTTTCATCATTTGATTGTTAAAAAGCAAGTAACTAAAGGGTTTACTTCAAGTGGTGCAGCTCCAAGACATAGCTTGGATATTTTACAATTCCATGAGGAGGGCAAACCAGTTCTATTTTGTTAGGAAAGTGATTCACTTCTTGTGGTTATGTGACTGATGAACTCAAACAAGTTTCTGAGAATGGCAAAATCAGTTCCCAAATGTACCATTAAGTGAAATTACAGTATGAAATGGTACAACATTTGATATTAACAGATACATATGAGTAAGTCTGCTCAGAAAAGTTCATTCAACTTGATATTTCCAAGCATTATACATGAGCCTTAAAAATTAAAGGTAGGAAATATCCCACCTTTCCAGAAAACCAAGTCATATAGTCTTAAAATTACTTTGAAAGCTGAAGTCAGTTTTACTTCGGTTTTTATCAGTACACAAATATGGTAAACTAACAAAAAGGAAGAAAGGAAGGAGCGTCTGGGATGGAGAGTTGAATTCATTCTGTTCCAAAATCGAATTGAAGATAGCAGATGAGTCAGAAATAAACGAATTGGTTCAAGGCACTGAATAACCTTTAGTGTCCTTTCCTGGCCTCTTAGCAGCACCCATGGCATCAATATGATATTGTCCAGTCAGGCTCCATTTTATTGTACTTACTTAGAGGTGACTCTTGAGACAACCTAATGGCAAAGTTGTCTCTTGGGGTTAGCTGGTCCCCCGAGTTCTGCTGGGGCTGTAGGACAGCCAAGCTAAGTGTCTGTCTCTATTTTTATTTTGAATGCAGTGGGTGAAAAATGAGGGGCAGCCCCTAAGAAAGTACATATCCCCATGACATGGTTTTTACTACGGACACAGAGGTTCACATTCAGAAAAAGTTAACCACCTTATGCAACCTAACTCTATGCGGGATGACTTAACCCTTTCAAGACTTCCCCTAGAGAAGTGGTTTGGGAGGGCAGCCAGAATAAGCGGTAAGGGAAGATATACAAGACCTACCTCTCTCCAGGCGGGAGAACTGTACATGTACACACACACACATACACACATACATTACACACGCGATTGCACCTAGGCACACAGCTCAACATTCATGAAGGCTGAAATGCTACAGGCCAGACGAGGGGCTGGGCTCACCTAAGACATCCTGCTAAGGATGCCCAGCCCCAAGGTGACACCCTCGGAGATGTCCTGGAAGAGTTGAGCCAACAGATGCCACCTTCACAGAACAAAGGAGATAAGGACAAGGGTAGACGGGGTGGCAGTGGCCAGAGGACTAGAGCTCCCGGAGCCACAGACCACTTCTGTCCACCCTCCCCGAGTGCCCTTCAGGACAGGGTTTGGGTTTTGTTGTCTTTGTGTCCCCCCCCCACCTCCCATCCCCAACCACGCGTCTAGCACAGTGCCAAGCATGTAGTAGGCGCTTAATAAATGCTTGCTGCATTGAACTGGACTAGGCAGAGATTTTAAGACGGCAGGAGGCTGGCTCCGGAGGGGGGGGGCGGGAGCAAGACAGAGGGGTGGTCAATGCCCCCAAAGAAGGACCCCACGCGAGGTTTCCCGGCCGCTCTCACCTCATCGCCCCACTTGAGCACGTCTTTGTGCCGCTCCTTGACGGCGTGGTAAATATGCAGAAACTGGAGGATCCCGTGCCTCCGCACATGGTCCGCGTGGCGCTTGGTCTCTTCCCAGCTAAGCGGCGAGCCCTGGGACAGAAGTCCCATGGCTGCCCCCGGTGCTGCCGCCGCCTCCTCCTCCTCCTCCCGGGCTGCGGCTGCCGATCAGGGCAGGGACGCAGAGCGGACGCCTCGCCGGGCGGCTCCTGGACGCTGGGGCTGCCGCTCCGCTCTCCGGGCCCGGGCTCCCCTCCCGGCCAGGTGATGGGACCCCGGCGTCCGGCCACCCACGGGAAGGAGGGAGAAGGGCAGGCTCAGGGGCAGGATGCCTCTCTTCTTCCTTAGCTTTCCTCGGTGGCTTCCTTACGCCTTGCCCACCTCCTCCTCCAGCCGCGGCAGCCGCTCCAAGCAGTCCCGTGTCCAGACGTCGGGGGCTGCAACAGCAACCTCTCCCCTTTGCCGGTTGTCGTGCACAAGCCGCTTCCTACTTGTGACCAAAACCTGCGGCGCCGCAGAGCATGCCCAGTGCCCGACCCTGGCAGGAACGAAAGCCCCGTGCAGAATCCGCGGCTCCGGGTTTTAAAGGCGACGGGAGGGCGGGGTCGGGGAAAGGGAGGAGGTGAAGGGGAGGAGCCCGTGGGGGAGGGGCCTGTGGAGGACGAGGGGAGGGGGCGGAGTCTGAAACTGACTTCAAAAAGAGGAAGGGAGCGGAGGTTAGGGAATGGATTGGGGTGGGAGGGGTTCTCACAGGAAAGAAGTGTAGGTCTCCCTCTACAAACCCGATTTATGAAAATCCATATTTACTGGGAGTAAAACTAAAAACAATCCCAGAATGTTTAGAGGGCAAATGAAGTATAGTGAGAATTGCGCTTCACCATGGAGTCGGGAGACCTGAGTTCGGATCTCAGTTTTGTGATATAATAATCCTAGCTAACATTTATACAGCACCTACTATGTGTCAGGCCCTTTCGAAATATCTAATTTTATCCTTTGAACAATCCTGGGGAGCAAGTGCATTATTACCCTCACTTTAGAGAAAAGGAAACTGGGGCAAACATCGGTTAAGTGGCTTGTGCAGGGTTACCCAGCTAATAAATGTCTGAGGCTGATTTGAACTCAGGCCTTTGGGGAGCTCCAATCACTGGGCCTTCTAGCTGCCCCAAATTATTTCTCAGTTCCACCATTTAATGCATCTTATCCCCTCGTTTTTTACAGAGGAGGGAACATAGATAGCCAAGGTTGCATAGGTAGTGGTAAAACCAGGATATGACACCACCCAACTTGGAGTTCAGGAGTCTTTCTACCACACTACACATGATTGTGAACATATATACTACAATAATAATAATAATAATTGGTAGACATTTACTTTAAGGTTTGAAAAACTGTTTACAAACATTAACTCATTTTGTCTTCATAACAACCCTGAGAGATGGATGCTACGGGAGTCAATATTATCTGTTTCAAAATGGGGGGGGGGCAGGAGGCACTCCCCCAAGAGTATTTAAATGACTTGCCCAAGGTCAGAGAGACTTTGACTAGAGATACTGAGACCTGAGACTAGAGACCAGAAGCCATGCTCCTTTTTGTGACCACAAAAGTTATTTTTCCATCAGACGATGGGAAAATCATTTCCCTCTAGAGGGAAACGTTAGTTAAGTTGCTAAAGAATTTGCCAGGAGATTATTTTATACAAGAAGTTTGTAGAATCATAGATTTGGGTGTGGAAGAGACCTCAGAAGCTCTCTAGTCCAATGCTTTAATTTTACAAATGAGGACACATGTACAGAGAGGTTGAAACTTGCTCTGAAATACAAAGAAAGTGAAAAACAAAGCTTGGATTTGAGCTCAGCTCCTTTAACTTCAGAGTGTTCTTTGTAAAGCTTATAGTGTGATAAAAATATATGTACTGTCTATGGAAGATTTCTGGGAGGACACGGACAAAAACTGCACAAGATGAGAAAGTAAGGCTGAGTTGCCATCTTCACTTTGGGGGAATATCTACAATTAAAATCATAGAGCCATTGTAGTAAAAAGTATTACTATGTCTCATATGTATTTTAATATTATCTTTTTATATTTTTCTTTATTTTCTAATATGTTCTCCTCTCCTCTCCCCAGAGACTTGTAACAAAGAAAAAAGAAAGAAAAAAAGCACTTTGGCAAAACTAACGAACACAGCAACCAAGTCTGACTATAATATGCAACGTTCCAGACCTACAGTCCCCCACCTCTGTAAAGAAGGGAAGGAGCTACCGTATCTCCTCTCTTCTTCAGAGCCAAGGGTAATAATTAAAATTACCCACAGCTTAGTTTCTTTTTGTTGGTGTTCTTTTCATTTACATTTGTAGTTGTTGTGTATATTGTTTTCTTGCTTCACTATGCATCAGTTCAAATAAGCCTTCCCATGTTTCTCTGAACTTTCCATCTTTATCATTTCTTGTGGCTCAGTAATATTCACCTGTGCCCCTTCCTTTAAAATATTCTTTGTATTACCACCTTGTGGTGATGTGGAGTAAATTTCATATGCCCTTCTTTGTATCACATCAGTGCCATCTCCACTACAGAGAGATTCCACTGCTACCATAACTAGTGGAGATACTCAGAAAGGGCAAACGCTCTGCTCTCAGTGATACTGGCCAATATTTATATAAACTGATGGAAATAAAATTATTTGCCCAAGGTTGCCTAGCTAGTAAATATTTGAAGCAGGATTTGAACCCCATTCTTTTTCACTCCATGACCAGTACTCTACACTCATGATTAGTTTCCTTGAAAGGTAATCATTCATCCAAAGATGAGAGATGTTTAGAGTTACTCATGGTAAGAACTTAAAATTGTTCCCTAATTGATGAGTGCTGTGGTTACTATAGATAGAGCCAGTCTGCTTAGATCAACCCCTTCACCAAGAAGGGGGATTGGGAGGGTAATTCTGATAGAGATAGTTAGAGTGACTGCTGATTATACGTGCAGCCCTTTGCTCCAAAGGAATGCTGCCGGTCTCTGTTTACATTATCTGCTCACTCTAGTTTGGTGCGTTTATAAAGAGGGTCAGCTCTCTCTGTCTGGTTCAATATCAAATCATGTAGCCCCTAGATGCTGTAGAACCTCTGGAATTTAAACTTATTATTAACTGGATAAACCTTACTTTGTAGTAGCATTAAAGTGTACAGGCTTATTTCCCAGGGCTAGACAAAGACAGGAGCTCAGTAGGTGATAGTGAGGCCAACCTAAGATGTGTAAAAGTTTTTTGGTATACATCTTGCAGGAGTAAATATATTGATATTATTTGTATGTTATTCAATAAACCCCAAAGATGACTAAGGTGAACATCTTAATTTCTAGCTTTTGCTATGTTCCTTGAAATCCTGAACCTGATTAGCACATGGGTTTGGGTGGTCTCTCTGGGACAATTATCCCGGCTTGCCTTCTCTCTGCTTAGGGTCAGGGAGAATAGAGGGTGAATATTGAATGCTATAATTTTTTGTATCCCCCAGAACACCTTGTACAGTCCTAGCCACATATTGGGCAATCCATAAATATATGTTCAATGAATTAATGACAGAAATTTTCTTTTTAAAAAAATTAAATTTGATTTTTTCAAACAATGAAAATCTGCCTTCTCTCTTCCCCATTGAGAAAGGAATAAAAACAAAATCTCTATTGCAAATATGTATAGAAAAGCAAAACAAATTCCTGCATTGACTGTATCTCTCCCAAAATATGTCTCAATCTACATTTTGAATCCATCACCTCTCTATCTAGAGGTAGGCAGCATGGTTCCTTGTGCTCTATCTAGAATCATGATTGGTCCCTGTGTTGATCACAGTTCTTAAGTCTTTCAAAGTTATTTGTCTTTATAGTATTGTTGTTATTACATTAATTGTTCTCCTGGTTTTGCTCACTTCACTCTACTTCAGTTTATACAAATCATCCATTTTTCTGAAACTATCCCCTTTATTTTTTATAGCACAATAGTATTATATCAGATTCATATATCATAACTTGTTTAGCTATTCCCAAACTGATAACCACTCCCTTAATTTCCTATTCTTTGCTAATACAAAGAGAGCTATTTTTATACATATGGGTCCCTTTCCTCTTTCTTTTATCTCTTTGAGGTATAGACCTCCAAGTGTTAAGCACTGGGTCAAAGGGTATGTACAGTTTACTAATTTGAGGAGCATAATTCCAAATTGCTTTCTTCTTCCTCTAATTTATGTCATCCTTTATGTCTAAGTCATATACCCATTTGGAACTTCTCTGGGTATCAAGTCTGAGATGCAGAAGTTTTCCTTATATTACACTAACCAATAGGGTTCCATGTTCTAAAGTCCGAATTTTGCTTTATGTTTCACTCATGCATGCCTGGAGTCTGCATAATATATTACTCCCTTAGAAAGTACTTGAGTGGATAGAGCATTGGCCCTGAATTCAGGAGAACCTGAGTTCAAATCCAGCCTCAGACACATGATACTTACTAGCTGTGTGACCCTGGCCAAGTCACTTAACCCCATTGCCTAGCCAAAAAAAAAAAAAGTACTTGGTGACAAAAGAAAAGGAGTGAGGCAACTATGATGGTGATGATTTTAATTTTTGTTCTTTGCTACTGGAGAGGTGGTGTGATACAGAGGTTGGCAAATTTCACTTAACCTAAGAAAGAACTGGGTCCAAATTCTACCTCTGACACTGAATTTCAACACTGGGAAAAATCCTTTAATCTCTTTATATCTTAGGACGCTTCTAAGTATATTGGATTGGTGGAAAAAGTTCCCCACATATCCCTATATTTTTACATATTATATTTGTATTATTACTTATTTTTATATTACACATTACATTAATATAGCACTTTATGCTTTTCAAAATGCTCTCAAATACATAAGCTGCATTTTCTCCTCAGGGTAATCTTATGAAGTATATAAATTGTCGGGGCTTTTTTTAAATATATTTTTACTGATGAGGAAAATGGGGCTCAAGAGGTTAATTATAAGCTTTTATAGGATGCAGAATTCAAAGTAAACAAGATGTAGTGGAGAGATGACAAATTCCTGCTTGTTACTTATTTTGCAATTTTCTCATGAATCATAACTGGAATGTTGTATATTGTAGTTATCTATAGACTCTGTGATTGAAGGGACTGAACTGTACCTTATCTAAACTTTTTATTTCTCCCTGAGCCAACCAATTAATTAGTGCTCTGGATAAAGGAGGAGTTTACTAAGTATTTATTGAGTGAAGGAATGAATGATAAGGCCTCAATCTAAACCCAAAGAATAGCTCCTGCCTCTGTCAGCCTCCTTTCCCCACCCTGTCCTTCTGTAAGAAAAGTTAAGTCCCAGTATTCTCTATTCATCCAAGGAACTTTGGAAGAATCTGAAAAAGCAGCCAGCTGGCAGTTAGAAAGCTTATTATATGCTTTGTCTTTTAGACAATTATTTTTATTTTATGATCCAGCAATACCATTACTAGGTCTGCTCCCCAAAGAGATTAAAAAAAAAAAAGGAAAAGGACCCATGTGTACAAAATACTTAGAGCAGTTCTTTTTGTCACAGCAAAGAAA